CACTACAGGGTTCAATATCAGCCAGTGTTCAATCAGGAAAGCTGTGTCACAGTGATTTTAGAGATAAGGGAATTTTAAAATAGGAATTAAACCTTGCAAATGTGGAAGGAGGTATCAGAGTTTGTAGGAATTCTGAGAATCCAGGCACATCCAGCTACTGAAGAACAGTTAACAGGGAACATGGTATAAGATCAGTGAATCCTGCAAACATGAGCCTAATTGCTACAATTCTTTTTTTTTTTTTTTTTTTTCTTAAGCACAGGAAGTGGTAGATGGAATACCATGAGGGAGAACACAGTATTTTGTAAGGTCCACAGATGGTTCTTTTGCAGAAGCACTGGAGCAGGAAAGGCAATTCCGTATCTAGAGCAACTTTTCTCCAATGAAAACAGTGTGCTGTCCCTTCCATGGTGGAAGTGGTCTTGTGTAACCAAATTCCTAGCAGGGTTTGGGTAATTCTCTTTGGAGAACAGTACCAAATTTTTCCCTTCTCATTCAACTGATCAGAGAACTCCTCCTGAGGCCACTGGCATGGGTTGAGAGACGGGAGTCACAGTAGCAGGAATAGGAGCCATTCCCTATGGCAATCTGCGTCACTTGTTCAGGCAGCTTGCGACTTCTGTCTAAACCTCGTCTCATCTGTGTCACTGCCCCTTGATGTTGAAGTGCTACTGGCATGCTCAAATTTATGACTTCATTGCATGGTAATTTCCTGGTTCATGGCCAAATATTTAGTTTTAACTAGGGATCAAAGAAGCTAGAAGCTGCTTTCTCGGGAGTAATGCCATCTGCAGAGAATGACCTAACTTTGCTTCCAAATCCCAAATATGTATGCTGCGGGCTCCATGCAGTGTCCGTATCTGTCACAGACACTTCATATGTCATCAGATGTATATCAGGGGTCAAAAATCATTTCTGTAAAGAGCCAGATAGTTAATATTTTAGGCTTTGCAGACCACAAAGACAACTCTCACAATTACTCAACGCTGCCATATTAGCCTGAAGGCCCCATAGACAAAATGTAGAGTGGTCATGGCTGTTTCAGTAAAATTTTATTTACAAAAACAAGTGGCAGCCAGATTTGCCCCTTGGGCAGTAGTTTGCCAATTCCTGGATTAAACTGTGAATGAAGATTGAAAAGTTGGTATAGCTCTGAGCTGGGACCATAAAAGCATATTAATGGCCCTACCAGATGAAACTAAACTTCTCTGGATGATGTTTACTAATAGGTATAGAGGGAAAAAAGCACGTTAGCACAATAGCTGCATATCAGGTGCCAGCAGATGTGCTGATTCACTCCAGCAATAAAACCTCATCTGAAGCTGCAAGTCATGTCAAGTCCTAATTAAATTTACAATAATCCCATGTCATTCTCCAAGATTCACCTGTCTTCTGCACAGGTCACATGAGTAAATTGAAGAGGGGTATGGTAGAAAACATGACCCCTGTGACTTCCAAGATACCGCTAGGGGTACTAATCTCTAGAATCCTTTGAAGAATGTGGTATTGCTTTTGGTTTTCTATTTTGGTACATACAAGGCAGTTACAGTGTTTACTTGTCCTTTATCAAAATAGTCCTTGTTTCGTTGGTGAGGGAACCAATGTGAGGATTCTGCCAATTGTTGGGTATTTCTATTGCAACTCTGCATTCTGGAACTTGGAAAATAACCAGATGATGGGCTCAGGAATCCATTCAGACCACCACATACGGACCTGAGCAAAAGCATCCATTATTTGTTGTTTATAAGCCCCACTATTAATTGCTGAGCACAATGCACTTGAGGTTCCAGGAGTAATGTCATCTCTAGTGTCCAGTAATCCCTCCATATTCTGGTTATTTCCACTTACCTAATATATAACCTCCATAAAATATAGCTGCAAGTCACTTTGAGGAAGTCTAGAACAATTTATAGTATATAGTTTTGGCAGTATATCAGATTCTTTAAAAGGGACCCAGCCGGACCTTTAAGGTGCTCTGGAAATGGGAACTGACTCACGTTATGGAATTGGCTGAGGGGCCACAACTCTCATGTTGACTCAGGCCAGAATAAGAAAAGCTCACCAGAGGATCTAGTTTCCTGCAAGGAAACCATCTTGGGGGAGATCATTACAGGTTCTTCAGGCAAGAGGAGACTAGGTCAGAGCAAAAGCCTTCCTCCTAATGGCAAAGGAGACTCACCTAAGTTTAGAGGTCAAAGACCTCAACTTTGTTAGAATCTGCCCATATATTCGCACCTCAATTTTTCAGGATTCTATTCCTTCCCTTTGATGCCCTATAACATAAGAGAATCTACAAGGTTGTGAACCAATCAATGTGTTATCATTCGGTTGCTGACTGAATTTGACTTTGGGTCCCTTTTTTGTTAAAAAAAAAAAAAAAAGAAAGAAAGAAAAAGAAATGCTTACTCTATATAACAAGTCCCCAAAGTGTTAATATGTAGCCACGCTCAAAACTAAGATAGGAAAATCCCCCACAGGCCAAAATAAGTTTGAGCCGACGGTGTCAAGTGGGAGTTGAGACTAAATGGCCTGCAAAGGCCAATGGAACTGGATACACAGAGGTTTAATCTTTAGTGTAGATGGGAGTCAAGGGCAGAGGAGCCATGCACACTCGGAGAGAGTAGTGAACTACCCATTATTACAAATGAAAGACTAGTTCTCTTTCACTGGCTGTGAAGAAACAGGAAGTCCCTATTGTTACCACCATCTTTGGACCAACCTAAAGAACAAGATCAGTCAGAAGGGCAGATAAAAGAATCAAAAGGAAACCATTCTGAAATCCTGACTGAACCAGGTTGAAATTCTGCTCTACTTGTGGCTTTTCCAGTTATGGGAGACAAATCTTTTTGGTTTAACACAGGGATCAACAGGTATTTTCTGTAAAGGGCCAGAAAGTATTCTGGGTTTTGTGGGCCAGTGTTTGTCACAACTACTAAACTGTCACTGCCATGAGAAAACAGCCATAGATACATAAATGAATGGGCATTACGATGTTACAATAAAGCTTTAAAGGTAGTAGACCACATTTGGCCCACAGGAAACAGCTTGCCAACCTTCTGTTTAACACACTAAATTAAAATTACCTTGAGAGTTGATGGGCTATCCTGGTATCTACTAAACAAAACTAAACATGGAAGGCCTAGGATTTCTCATATCTAATGCAACTTGAGGTAGCATATACTTTACATAGCATGTGAAGGTGTGGTCCAAGAAGTCAACTTTGGAATACATATATATATAATGTATGTATGTATTTGCTGAGTAAAGCCCTTTAACCAAATAAGCGTTAAGTATCAGTGAAATGACTAAGTAGGAAATGGTATTCAAACCCGCTCAACAGCTTGTTCCCATCATGCTAGATGCTCCCTTATGGGTATCTTTTCCTTAGGGAATCTTTGTTAAATTTTACCTCAAAACACAGTACCTTCGTTCTCCATCTTCATCATTTGCCTACTCAGTTACTCTGTAAACAATTTTCTCATCATTCCTTTTCTCCCACAGCTCAAGGTTCTCTGTGCCATGGTGTCTGTAAAGACACAGCTACTTCCCTAATCAGACCAAGCACTGGAAGGGACTGCCAGCACCCTGGGATATCCATTCACCCAGTAGGGAGGTCTGACAAGAATCAGGATGTATAAATTTCCACTGTTGGAATTACACTAGAATCTTCTGGTCACATGGACTTATGCCTAAACTTCAAATACATTAATTACAAATATATGGTTACACTCACTAATGTATGTCTCTGAATGACCACAGAAATTTTTTTAACAACTGATTTCCAGAGTTCTATTCCTTGGTTTTGGTTTTATATACCACATGATGATAGAGTTTCTTACTGTAAGGGATATGTTCTTACAAATTTTTAAAATTATAGTTTACTGTTACTACAAAGTAACAGTATTTTACTATAAAACTGATGCTTAATAAGAAATCTGAGTAAAATTTTGAAAAGTCCCTGAAAATCTTGCCACTTTATATAGGGTAAATAGCCCTTCACATGACTGGATGCATTATTAACACATTCAGAGACACACATATGTTTAAAGTATTTGATGTCCCTAAACTACCTTAAACTGTTACTTCTTCTATCTTAAGTCTTAGCCATCATTTTAATGAATCTGTTATTGTATAAATTTATCAAAATATATTTATATAAATTCCTACTGATGAACATTTCCACTTTTACAAAATTAACAGCAATGATGAGCTACTGATCTTCTTCTCCTATTTGAATCTCCTAATCATAAGTTCTTATTCTATCATCTCCTGATGAAAGAGATTCCACATTCTGTATTTTGATATATACTGACCAACTTCAAAAAGCAATTATTTCGGGTACCTGGGTGGCTCATCCAGTTAACCGTCCAACTCTTTTTTTTTTTTTTAATCATCCAACTCTCGATTTCAGCTCAGATCATGATCTCAGGGTTGTGAGATCAAGCTCAGTGTCAGGCTCCACGCTGAGTGTGGAGCCTGCTTGGGAATCTCTCTCTAAAGAAAAAAACAAAAAACAAAACTAAAAAGCCGTTACTCAATCCACTGCTAGGAAAAGGTGTGAAAGTCAGTCATGCCCCACTAACCAATATGTTTGATAAAATTACCACATTCCAACAAATATTTTTTTTCTTCTTTCTACTCCTGGGGAGAGGAAGGAGTAATAGGGTAGAGAACTTGACAAAAGTAATCTACTTCAAATAGCCTCTCTACCCAAGTTTTTGGGTGTTTTTTTTTCCTAAAGTTTTATTCATTTACTTGTCAGAGAGAAAACACAAGCAGGGGGAGCAGCAGGCAGAGGAAGCAGGCTCTGCACTAAGCAAGAAGCCTGATGTGGGACTCAATCCCAGGACCCCAGGATCATGACCCGAAAGCAGATGCTTTACTGACTGAGCCACCAAAGTGTCCCTACCTAAGCAGTTTCTATGAAAGTCATGCTAAAACCCTTATTTAGAAGGCAATCACATCAAGTCTGGATGGAAATGTGGAGAATAAGAAACCAATGATCAATTCAACATTTACTAAGAAATGTTTGTCATTAGTATAACTTTGACACGTAAACCCCTGCCTTGACATTCTTGAGAATAGAAATAAACAGTGTAATGGCTTATTGTAGGATTAGCAATCAATTTTCAGTCTATGCTGTCACAAAAGATAACTATCCACTGATTTTATGCAGTGTAAATTCAAAGTCCAAGATGATAAGACCCAACTTGATAAGAGGCTGGGAAAGACAGGAGCTCATCACAACAAGGCAAAGCCCAATTACTAGGACAGATTGCAGTACTGAGTAGTTTTCTTGCATTTCAACTCTGTCTCCCTGAATTAATTTTATGAAGGCCACATTTAGGTTACCTGTTCTGAATACAAATTTTTATGAAATTCTGGAGGTGATCTCAACACAATTTTCAAATATACATTTCCTCCATTTATTAATTTAACAAATATTGAGCACCTCCCAAGTACCTGGCAATGTTAAGACCATGTAGAACCAGAACAAGTCTCTGCATTTATGGAGCTTACATTCTAATGGGCATTAATTTTAGTGTGTCCATTATACTTTTATACAAGGCCTGATAAAACTCATCCTTTCCAAAGCCTCTCCCCTGAGTAGTATTTAATAAAGGTCAAAGTTCAAACTGTACCTTACTATGCCACTTACAAGTGTTCTCTGCTGTGTGGCCTCCTGACTACTGGGATAGGTTAAGCTGTGGCTCAAACATTGACTTTCATGAAATAAATGATTTTTTCTTTTGAACTTCAGGATTGGAAGAATTCACATGACACCTGGGTTTTCTTTTAAAAATCATTTTATACAACTATTTTCCTGGGTGGACTCTCTGATGTTCTTCCCACTCCTATTACTTTTATAGGATTTATCACCAGCATGGATTCTGTGATGAATGGTAAGATTTGATCGCCAGCTGAAGCTCTTACCACACGTCTCACACTTGTAAGGTTTCTCCCCTGTGTGAACTCTCTGATGAGACTGTAGCTGTGAAGAGCGACTGAAGACCTTACCACACACATCACATTTGTAAGGTTTCTCTCCAGTGTGCACACTCTGATGAAGCTGAAGACTTGAGGCCTGACTGAAGTGTTTACCACACTCCCCACACTTGTAGGGTTTCTCTCCTGTGTGGACCCTCTGATGCATGTCAAGATTCAAGCTCCATTTGAAGCCCTTCCCACACTCCTCACATTTGTATGGCTTTTCTCCGGTGTGGACTTTCTGATGGGCTTGAAGATGTGAACTGCGACCAAAACTCTTCCCACACTCCTCACATTTGAATGGTTTCTCTCCACTATGGACTCTCTGATGGGCCAGAAGATTTGAGGCCTGCCTGAATACTTTCCCACACTCCTCACAATTATATGGTTTCTCTCCTGTGTGGATTCTGCAATGAATTTTGAGATCTGCTCTACGACTGAATCCCTTCCCACACTCTTCACATTTGTACGGTTTCTCGCCAGTATGGATCAGCTGGTGAATCTGAAGTCGGGAACTCTGATTGAAGCCCTGCCCGCACTCCTCACACTTGTAAGGTTTCTCTACGCTGTGTGCCTTCAGATGGATTTGAAGATATGAACTCTGACTGAAGCCCTTTCCACATACCTCACATTTATAGGGTTTCTCCCCTGTGTGGACTACCAGATGAACTTGATAATGGGAGTTCCTCCTGAAGCTCTTCCCACACTCATCGCATTTGTATGGCTTCTCTCCTGTGTGGACTCTCTGATGTGCTTGAAGATTTGAACTCAGAGTAAAGCCTTTACCACACACATTACATATGTAGGATTTCTCTCCAGTGTGAACACCCTGATGGGCCTGAAGACTTGAAGGCCGACTAAAGCCTTTACCACATTCCTCACATTTGTAGGGTTTTTCTCCTGTGTGGACCCTCTGATGAATGTATAGATTTGAGCTACAAATGAAGCCCTTCCCACACTCCTCACATTTGTATGGTTTCTCTCCCGTGTGGACTCTCTGATGGGACTGAAGATGTGAATTCCGACTGAAGCTTTTACCACATGCATCACATCTGAATGGTTTCTCCCCAGTGTGGACTCTCTGATGGTCCTGGAGATGAGAGGCCTGACTGAAGGCCCTCCCACATTCCTCACAATGATAAGGTTTCTCTCCTGTGTGGACTTTGCAATGAACAGTAAGTGCTGATCTACGACCAAAGCCTTTCCCACACTCCTCGCATTTAAATGGCTTCTCTACAGTGTGGACTTTCTGATGGGTTTGCAGAAGTGAGCTCTGACCGAATTCCTTACCACACTCACCACACTTATAGCCTTTCTCTCCCACGTGAACTCTCTGATGAATACGAAGAACTGAGCTATAACGGAAGCCTTTCCCACATTCACTACATGTATGCAACTTTGCTTTTGAGTGTAATTGCTGATGAAGATCAAAGGTAGAGAGATCACTGAAGGATTTTTCACATTCATTACACTGGTAAGGTTTTTGTCCTGTGTGAGTCATACTATCCTGGTCCAATGTTGAAATCTTCATGCTGTCTTTCTCACAATCATCGTCACTGTAAGATTGGTCACTTCTGTGTATTCCATGATCTAGGTGATGTGAAATCCAACTGATGACATCAACATCCTGTTTACACTGACACAGCTTATTTTTCTTGGAAATTTGTTGGTTTCTATTCAGATAACTCTGTGACTCAGTCAAAGAAGTTTTCCTCCATGAGTCCTGGGCTCTCAAAAGTGGAAAGTCTGAGTTTTCAGTACCATTAGGACCATCCACTTTACAATTCAGTATACAGTTCTCATCTTCAGAAATTTGAATAGAGAATCCTGCCCCAAGCTGGCAGGGGGAATCACCTTGTTTGTGAAGCTGAGAACTATTTATCATGGAGTTTTGACATCTGGATAGGTCATTTGCAATGTGTTGCCAGATTTGCCAGCAGGAAAGCTCTTCATGTGGTCCTCTGTCTTGAACGGTCCTCAGCTCACTTTGATTGCTCCCTCCTATAGGGACAGAATTCAGAGATGTGGACAAGTGAAAACTTCATTCAAAGAGTCAAGATTTCACACTTAGGATACAGTATGATACTTTAATGAACCTCAGGATGGTTCAGCTTATCTTCTTCACCATATATGAAATACTCTGGCTTATATAGTGATGGAAACCAACCACTTAGCATTAATGAAATCCAACAAAAACAAAATTACTGCCACCTGACATACGATTTAAGTCATTTTTCCAAAATTACATGTCTTTCCCACCATAGTACAGTATCAATAAGGACAAGCATTTTGCAGTGTTGACAGCTTTTAACAGTGCCTAGCAGTTAGCAGGTGTTTAAGAAATGCATGCATAGATGGATTCGAAACTGATGTCTGAGATTATCCAGAATGCTAAATCCCAGTTTAAGTGTAAATAAGTCAGAGTAGAAAAGAGCTTTTATAAGTAAGGTATGTGAAATAGGACAAGAATGGGAAAATACAGTTTGCTAAGAAGTTGAAAGGCTACACCAGAGACAGCAGTATACCAAGGGGGTACTGAGGAGAAAATCAAGGGTGCTAAACAAAGAAAAGCATGAAGATCTATACACTAGATCCTTCTGAGGCTTCTGTACTGTCTCTCTAAATGCCTTCCCCCCACCCTCTGCCCCCGCCTCAAGAGGAATGAAAATTTTTTTTTAAGATTTTATTTATTCATTTGAGACACACAGATACAGAGAGAGCATGAGCAGGGGGGAGAGGGAGAGGGAGAAGCAGACTCCCCACTAAGCCAGGAGCCCAATGTGGGGTTCGATCCTGAGCCCAAGGCAGACGCTTAACCATCTGAGCCACCCAGGCACCCCTAAAGGAGTCAAATTTAGAGGCCAGGGAAGAATGCTGTCTCTTTGAAAATAGTGTGGAAAATTTTTGGATATAGATACATTGGCCTTCAACAAAATGACTGTTTCTAAGTGCAGAATGCAGTTCGTTGGTGAGCTGGGAAATAAATTCCATCACTTATGATATTTTAGAAGAAACAGACTAGGAACTATTAGGGAATCATCACAGGCAGTAAAGCTGTCATCGTATGAAATGCCTTCGAAAGTCGTATATTTACATCTATACACCAACGCTATGTCTGAGGTAATGACATAAGATCCATTTATGATTCCATATGTGCATTTCGGAAGAAGCAAATGGGATGCAGCTGGGCAAATCTTTTAAGGGAAAGGCTAACTCACAAGCTGGCTATTTTCTGAGACCTTCCATTCCCTGATATAAGAGATATGGAAGTTGAATTTCTTCCCTCCTCTGGGGGAGCTGCCTAAGAAGTGGACCAAAGAATCCTCTATCAAAAAACAATCTCCTCCCCAAATGAATATGCTCTGCTACTAAAGGAAAGTCACAGGGAGAGAATGGTGTTCGATTTGGTTCTAACAACAGTGCTACGTGTTCTGTACAGGTCTCTGTACAGGCTGGTGCGGGTCAGCTTGTACAGAAAGGCAAACACACACACATATACCATAGGCAGCCGAGAAATTAGAATCAGGTTAAGAATTCATTTAAAGACAAAAAATATTTTGCAATATCCCTTCTTCACATGGATCTGTTCGCCTCTTACCTATTTCCGTGGAGGGCAGGCTTTCCTATACAGTAATTCATTCATTTATTCAACAAAGATTTACAGAGCCCCTGCCATGTACCAGGACTATTCTAAGCACTGAGGATAGTGAACAATCAACAAAACAAACAAAAGTCCTCCACTCTTGAAGATTACACTCCAGTGAGGAGGCAAAGATAAAATAAACAAATGAATAAAAATATGTGAGGCGATGATCACCCAAAATAAAGCAGCGCAGAGAGTCAAGAGAGAATGGCATTTTCAACAGGGTGGTCATAGTCCTCACATGAGATTAGAACTGAGTGACCTGAAAGAAGTAAAGAAGGGGCCTGCAGGGTTATAGGTGAGAGACTATTCCAGGCAGAGAGGAACGAGTGAAGGGTTCTGAGGCAGAAGCTTCCTTCGCAGGTCTGAGAAATGGCAGGGAAGACACTGTAGGCAGAAAAAATGGAGCAAGAAGAAGGACAGGTGTATTTAGACAGGCCGTGGGAGCAGACCACAGAGGACTCTCTAGAAGCTACTTTAAGTGGTTTTTACTCTAAAGAAGCCATAAGAGAATTTTGAACAGAAGACTAACAGAAGACTAAGACTTTGCTTAAAGTTATAAAGGATCCCTCAGGCTGCTACTTAAAGCACAGACCGCAGAAGGGCAGGAGCAGGCACCCCTGCGAAGACTGTTGCAATAATCCAGGAAAGAGGTTTGGCACTTGGACGAAGGTGACAGCACACAGGTGGCGAGAAACAAAACAGATGGACAGGTCACAGTTGCTTCGTTCTTACCTACATTTCTCTCTATCGGGGTTGCTGTCTTCATCAACCAGGGCCTCTCTTCTCTTTCTATGTGCCATTTATCTCGTTTAAAGGGCTGATGTCCTGAGAACATGCAAAATCATGAGTTAAAATGAATGCGACGGAGCCACCCAGGCGCCCCTCCGTGTAGATTTAATTATATGGATGGATTAGTAATAAAAGCAACCCTGTGACTTTTGGACAGTAGATTTATCAGTCTATAAAGTGAAGCCGACTTCAAAAAATATATCCTCAAGATTTGTACTTATGTTAAACAAGGGCCTTCAGGGCGCCTGGGTGGCTCAGTCGTTAAGCGTCTGCCTTCGGCTCGGGTCGTGATCCCAGGGTCCTGGGATCAAGCCCAGCGTCGGACTCCCTGCTCCACGGGGAGCCTGCTTCTCCCTCTCCCACTCCCCCTGCCTGTGTTCCCTCTCTCGCTGTCTCTCTCTGTCAAATAAATAAATAAAATCTTAAAAAAAGGGCCTTACCAAGTATATAAATCTGTTTTTGATTATAACTGTTAATTAAAATTGCAAGTAGGTATGTTAAAAAATAAATAAATAAAATGAACATGCTAGAGCTAAAATTTACCGGAAATTTGAGTTCCAACTGCATATTCAAGATATCAAAAGTGTGTTTTCCAAATCTTTTTTAAATCATGACCCATTCAAGAAATAGCACTTATTTCATGACCCAACTACATACATAGAGATATGTATTATCCAAAGAAAGTCTGAATGACCTATTTCTAACCCATGTCTGTTTTCACTGAATCTCCCAGTGGCCCTCACACACTCATGCAATCAACCAGTTTTTTGCTGCAATGTGTCCTAAGAAGTTCTGATATTCTCTCCCCTATTGATTTCATTCAAAACTGCTCATAGAATTCAATAAATCAGTTTTAGAATTCACTAATGCGATGGGAGTGAAATCTGAAATCAAATCGACAAGGTATAGCAGTATACTGTCCATTTATAGTCCTTTACAAAAACCCAAATGAAAAAGACCTGAAAGAGCCTGTTCGGAAAAATCAGAAACATCCTGTGTCCCACAAGAATTAGCAAAGTCCAATCCCCAAATTCAGGGAACCATTTCAAGAGCCCCAAAGTCTTAAAACCCCAAGGTGACAAAGATCCTCCAGAGGGAGGCTGTTCTCACCCACTGAGACCAGGTTCCTGAAGTTTTCTAACATGACATCCTGGTACAGCTTCCTCTGGGCAGAGTCCAGCAGTCCCAGCTCCTCCTCTGTGAAGGCCACGGCCACGTCCTTGAACGTCACTGCCTCCTACAACAAACACATACAAGCTCAATCTTATACCCAAGGGCCACTGCAAGAGGTGGGAGGATGGGTGGGGAGGTGCTCTGGCTCCTGCGCAATCTGTAGATTTCCCAGCCCTTCTCCTTCTCTCCTGCTGATGCCACACACCGATTTTCCTCAGCCTCATCAAAAGCACTGCTATGGAAAAGAAAGCTCTATTTACCTGGCCCTCTCAGTGAGCACTGTAATAAGCAAACTCCCTAGAGTTCTAACAGCTGCATCCTAAACTAAAAAGGTTTTACTTTTTAATTAACATTGCCAATTACCCCAGAAACATTGAACAGTTTGGCCCCAGCAGTGTTTGAGAGCACCTGCCTTCCCGCTGAAGTGGGAACCAGGTCAGGGGTAGCGTTCTTTGTGGAAATAAACCAAAAGGGCATTCCAGGTCACTGAATGAGAAACTCTCTCTCCTCCTGCATCTGTCTTCACTGGAATACCATACTCTGACCCCAGATCTCTGATGTTCTGTGTGAATTTAAGCAGATGTCTTTTTCACAACTGCTTGTCTTTGTATTTAAAATGAAGATAGGGGCGCCTGGGTGGCTCAGTTGGTTAAGTGTCTGCCTTCAGCTCAGGTCATGATCTCAGGGTCCTGGGATCGAGCCCCAGGTCAGGCTCCCTGTCCAGCAGGGAGTCTGCTTCTCCCTCTTGCTCTGCCCCGCCCCCTCTGCCCCTGCCCGGCTTGAGCGCTCACAGGTTCCTGCTCTCTTTCTCAAAATAAATAAAATCTTTTAAAAAAATAAATAAAATGAAGATAAAACCAAGCACCTCTTTATAAAATTGTTCTGAGGTGTCAATGCACTGAGCGACAAGTCCTTTAGTATCCCTGGATTTTTTAAACTAAGGTTATGTATTACTTTGATTAAAAAAAAATACACTGGGGGCACCTGGGTGGCTCAGTTAAGCATCTGCTTTCAGCTCAGGTCATGACCCCAGGGTCCTGGATTTGAGCCCATGTCGGACTCCCTGCTTAGTGGGGAGCCTGCTTCTCCCTCTCCCTCTGCCCTCCCCCTGCTCGTGCTCACTCTCTCTCAAATAAATAAAATTTTTAAGAAATAAATAAATCAATAATAAAAAATACACTAAGAAAAAAAACAGTAAGTAAAATACACATAGGGTTTGTGACTTAGGCATGGGGGAGACAGAATCTAGCTCTCTAATTAGAAAATTTCTAACAGTTATCTTTTCTTGTGAAGCTGAAGCCTGATCCTGATGCACTGTGCCATATTTGAATATCCTACCAAAAAACATCCAATGCACCAGATATAAAACATACCTCTTAAATTTTGAGTACTTGTTAAGGACAAAAAAAAGGCAGTAATTTTCAGGACTGTTTTTTGAGAAATAGATTAAATCAGGAGAGATTACTTTTAAAAAAATAAATAAAAACTTAAAAAAAATTGTTGCATAGTATTAAATTAAAAAAAAAAGATTCAAGTGTATGTTATGGGGTTGGGGGATCGACAAACAGGTGAGAAGGAAAAAAAGTACAAACTTCCAGCTATAAAATAAGTCAGGGGATGAAAAGTACAGCATAGGGAATATAATCAATAATAATACAATAACTTCGTGCAGTGACAGACTGTAATTACACTTATCATGGTGAGCATTTTGCAATGCATCTAACTGTCAAATCACTATATTATACACCTGAAACTAGTATGTCAACTACACTTCCATTTAAAAAAATAAAACAAAATTTAAAAAGTAAAAAATAAAACAAAATAAAGGTATGAAATACTTTTTAAAATTCTTAAAAGAAATAAAGCTGTATCTATGTTATGAATACAAATACACAGCTACAAATACATATGATGAAGAGATTATGGAAATAAAGCATCTATTTGCAGAGGAAGTAGTAAAGTGCAAGATATTTTTATTTCTATTGTTTTCTACTTTTTTTTTAAAAGATTTTATTTATTTATTTGACAGAGAGAGACACAGCAAGAGAGGGAACACAAGCAGGGGGAGTGGGAGAGGGAGAAGCAGGCTTTCCGCTGAGCAGGGAGCCCGATGCGGCGCTTGATCCCAGGACCCTGGGATCATGACCTGAGCCGAAGGCAGTCGCTTAACGACTGAGCCACCCAGGCACCCCAAGTTTTCTTCTTTTACTTGTGAGATTAAAAAAATGATGAAATAAAAGCTAAAACCAAAACCAATTAAACTTAAAAGTCATAAAGAAAAAAGCACCTGACACGCTCAACAAATCCTCAGATGCACTCTCCTTAAAAGAGAACTTGTGTCCAGTCTCTGAGGACTAAAACGTTAAAGATTTTTTATGTATTTATTTGACAGAGAGAGACAGTGAGAGAGGGAACACAAGCAGGGGGAGTGGGAGAGGGAGAAGCAGGCTTCCCGCTGAGCAGGGAGCCTGATGTGGGGCTCGATCCTAGGACCCTGGGATCATGACCTGAGCCAAAGGTAGACACTTAACGACTGAGCCACCCGGGTGCCCTAAAATGACTTTTTTTTTTAAAGATTTTATTTATTTATTTGAGAGAGAGAGAGAATGAGCAAGGAGCCCAATGTGGGGCTTGATCCCAGGACCCAGAGATCACAACCGGAGCTGAAGGCAGATGCTTAACCAACTTTAGCTCCCCTAAAATGACATTTTTAACAGTAAGAAAGACAAACTCTACTCACCTTGAACACGTTCATATTCTCTTTCCTTCTGGGGAAACAGAATCCTAGAAAGATAGACTGGGAAAGGAGAAAAAAAGTCAATGGAAACTCGTCAAGTATGTCACTAACCCATGGGACGGTGCGGGTGAACATGGCTTGATGAGCAGAACACAGCATGCATACCAGACACCCCCCGACCCCTTCCAGTAGGAGTGCAAGGAACAACCTGCCCAACCACAGGAATGGCCTCATCCCAGTGTGCCTGTAGCTTCTGCAGTAGTAATTCTTATTCTGGGCAGGGTATAAATTGAGACAACAGCAATAAGAGAAGGCTTTGGAGTCAATATGCATGGGCCGAAGTCCTGGCGAGGCTATTCAGCAGCAGTGTCATCTTGGGAAGATGGTTCACATCGCTTTGCCTCAGTTCTGCCATCTGCAAGTGGGGAGAACAAGGGTATCCACCTCATGGGATTGCTGTAAGGCAGGAAGCTATCGGAGCACTCTCAGCTTCCTATTTCTTTCCAACTGCAGAATGATATTCTATAGTTTGAAATTATCCCTATAAATGTGATTTCTACCAAGAGAACATTGTTAGAATATGTGGAGTTCACAGGTTGTTGCTCTATCACGTCATGAGTCAGGGACTGCTCAAAATCTCTGGCTGTCTTCCTGATAATTTGTTACCTCAACAATAATATCTAAATTGACATGGCCAACTTTTTATAAAAAGGTATAAAAATAAGTGAAGTTTCTTTCTAAGCAGGAAGTGCACTTTTGACAGGTAGGCATTGAGGTAAAGAAAACTAATCAAACCCAAGATTTTGCAACAACAATAGGTTGACAGTCCACACCTAAGTTAAATAAAAAAGACAAGCATCTGAGTTGTAAACGTATTGTTATAAATAAAGGAATGTACAAGAAATAAACAGGTGAGAAGAGAAAGTTTCCCCTACAGCAGAAGGCAAACCAAAAAATGTAGAATGAAAGATAGTTAGATAATCATCAATGGATGCTAAAAAAAATGGTGAAAGTTTGGGAAGAAATAAGATAGTCACATGGTCTCAAAATATTAACTGGAAGATACCTTACCGAAGAAAACAAAGTTGAAACCAGCAATTGGGACAAACCCACAAACGGACACGTACTTCCCATGATGCACTGAGAAGGTGCCTTACCACTTACTTCTGTAGCATCCCCGCTGCTAATGCAGAGCCTGAACCTAATCATAAACATCAGATAAACCAAAAAAAGAGGGACATTCTACAAAATAATTTGCCAATATTCCTCATGAATATCATGAACTAAATAAATAAAGTCAGAGGATTCATTCTCTTTTTTGTTTTGTTTTAAGTAATCTTTGTATCCAGTGGGAGCTCAAACTCACAATCCCGGAGATCAAGAGTCACATGCTCTACCACTGGACCAGCCAAGTGCTCCGGAATCATTCCAGATTAAAGGAGATTAATGAAATAAAAACTAAGTTCAATGCATATCACAGGACTGAACCCTGAACTAGAAAAAGAAAACTGCTCTCAGAGACTTTATTGGGGAAACTCGAAAAACTGAATATGGGCTGTGGATTAGATAATAATTTGTTATTAATGTAATTAATTCCATTTTGATCAGTTTCTAGCTTGCCCTCAAATGGTTCAGCAAAGAAAAACAAAAACAAAAACAAAATACAAGTATGATAAAGCTGTGAAAGAGACCCCAAAAATGGCATTGGAAGCTAGCAGGACCAACAGCTAGAACTTGGTGTTTCCCACTAATCAGCGAGAATCTCACAGGGCCACTCAGTCTCAGTGATCGTGATGAACAAGAAAAGGACAAGAGACTCCGTAACACAGAGACAAAGACATTCTACAATGACAGGAAAAAAAAAAAAAACAAACCCAAGAACTGCCCCCCCATGAGTGACTGACTACTTTATTAATAGTGACAACTGAAGTCTCAATTTTGTTTCTCCCATCTACTAGCTAAAAATAATTACAACATCCAGTCATCAACTTGCTTCTGCTTTTGAACAGCATGCGAACCAGAACAAATCCTCCTCACTGCTTAAAATTCCCCAACTCAGCTAACACAAGCCAAAATCCTGTAAGCAGCCCCACCTAATAGCCTTTTACCAAGACACCTGGGTGTGTGGGCTGCTTTGCTTCAGCGAGCTAAAACAAACTTAACTCTTTGACTACAGGTATGTTCCTGGGAGGTTTTGGCTGACGGTCACTAACAGAGCAAACAGGCCAAACATAAGTAATTTGATGGGCACCAGGGTGGCTCAGTTGGTTAAACGTCTGACTCCTTTTTTTTTTTAAAGATTTATTTGAGAAAGAGAGAGAGGGTGTGCACACAGGTGTGTGGGCAGGGAAAGAGGGAGTTCTCACTCCCCACTGAGTGTGGAGCCCAATGTAGGGCTTGATCCCAGGACCCTGAGATCCCCTGAGGGGAAAAAAATATATCCAGCTCAGTTTTTTTTTTTAAGATTTTATTTATTTTTTGACAGCGAGAGAGAGAGACAGTGAGAGAGGGAACACAAGCAGGGGGAGTGGGAGAGGGAGAAGCAGGCTTCCTGCGGAGCAGGGAGCCCGATGCGGGGTTCGATCCCAGGACCCTGGGACCATGACCTGAGCTGAAGGCCGAGGCTTAACGACTGAGCCACCCAGGCGCCCCTCCAGCTCAGTTTTATCTGTTACATCCAGCAAAGTCAATCTTTTAGGTCTCAGTTTCTAGACAAGAACCTTTCCTGAGCTTCTCGAATTTTCACATGCACAGGAATCTCCCCAGGATCTTGCTGGAATGCAGATTCCTGGGCCCCACAGGCAGAACGTCTGAATCAGAATGTCTCGGAAGGGGCTCAAGGATGAGCATTTCTACCCAAGTGATGCCAATGCCACTGGTTTGTAGACCACAATTTAAGTGGCACTGCAGCGTACCACCAGGCCCAAAGAAAGCAGCCTCCACTAAACAGAAATAAACACAAAGAGAAACCAGACAAAAAGGCTAAGATGTTATCATTACATTCCAAGGTTATACGTAATTAAAGTTTTTATTTATATATTTCTGTATTTTCCATAGTGATTAGGCTACTTCTATGACATAAATATTATTTGAAATAAATGACACAGATCAGAAAGCTACCTTAAAGTAGGAAAGATAGGGGAGCCTGGGTGGCTCAGTGGGTTAAGCATCAGACTCTTGGTTTCCACTTAGGTCATGATCTCTGGGTCATAGGATCCAGCCCCATGTAGGGCTTCGCAGTGGGGAGTCTGCTTGAGATTCTCTTTCTCTCCGTCTCCCTCTGCTTCTGCCCCTTCCCAGCTCGTGCTTTCTCTCTCTAAATAAAATGAATCTTTTAAAAACAATAAAATAAAGTAGGAAAAACAGCAGTACCACTTAACACAGCCACTGTGTGACGGAAATGGGTTCATTTGCGTAAAGCTTTTAGAATCGAACTTAGCAACTAAGGCTCAGCTATAATCATTACTCAAGTGCGTGTCCCACACATTCTCCAATTTACGTGACTATCGCAGTAGAAGAATGCCAAGTCCTACTCACGCGGAGCTCTGATGCCTCCTCCTCCGCGCAGTGCTTTTTGAGAAGTCAGGGCTGGAGAAGGAAAGGAGGTTGTGAAATACCGGGTTTGTTTCCGTTCCCGATAAATTACACTCCTCAGTACCAGCTAGAAGCAACTCTCCTTCCAAAAAAAAGGTCAGGAGTCCAGGACAATTCAGCTGCCTGGGCTCACAGAACCTCACTGAGAAATGGGCGCTTCTCGGATAATTACAGCAGTATTAGTAACAAGAAGTCTCCTGCCAGGCAGTTATAAACCTTTTACTTGTACTACCTCGTTTCTTTCCTCACAACACTGTAATAGGAAGGTATTACTTTTATTTCCCTTTTACACAACAGCAAACCAAGACACAGAGGGATTAAGCAGCCTGCCCAGTAACCCACCCATATGAAGACGGCTAGTTCGCAGGTGGGGAGCCAGGACAGGGGTGCAGAGAGCCCGAGAGACCCTTAAACCCGGAGAAGCACAACCAGAGCCCGCCCCATCCAGGGCAGGTCCCCAACGCGCAAAGAAGTTCCGCCCAGGAGAACGCAAATCCCTACCCCGGGCTATCAAACCTCCGTTTTTAGCCGCTCTTCCTCTTTCTCCCCAAATGAAATGCTGGTGGCTGCGGGACCCAGGTGCGTTTTCGGGAGAAGTTTGAATGGGTCGTGGACAGCCGACATGAAACACCGTAATCAGGGAAAAGATGGCTGCTACGGCGTCCTCCTGGGGCGGAAGTGCCTGCGACCAACCAGCACTCCTGGACTACACTTCCCAGAATTCCCGAGAACCACCTTCTTCAATGGAAGTACCTGTGACTACACGGAGCTCCTGGACTACACTTCCCAGAACTCCGCAGCACCACCGTCTTGAATGGAGGTACCTACGACTACATGGAGCTCCTGGACTACACTTCCCAGAATCCCGCGGCGGGGTGGGGGTGGGGGGACGTTTACAGACCCGCCTCACTGTAGCTGCGGGATGTGACTACTAGGACTCTGGACCACAACAGGTTCCCGACTGCCTGGGGCGGGAGATAGGCAGAAGCACCGCCCTCCCTATTACCCTTCACCAACTCAGGGACCGGAAAACAGACAAAGCCGCTCCCCTTTTGCGGAAATGCCTGACTACTCTAAGATCCTGGTTTTCACTTGCTGGAATCCCTAAGAAGGTCTGGGCAGACGTCTTGCTATTCTAGCACGTCGGCCGTAGAAGAGTGTAGATTCTGTTCATCGAAAGGCTGAGAAGCTGAGTACCACTTTAGATAAGCTCGAGGGGCTAAAACAACGTAAATCCGTTGCTTACCACAGAGGCGTCCTGGTAAACCCCAAAGAGCTTCACCATAGGACTAAGAGCAAAAGGAAACTGGGCCTTCTTTGGCAGGAATTAAAGGCAAATGTTAAAATTACCTCAGTCCCTGAAATTACGTGAAAATGAATTGCTGGCCTCTTCCAACCCTTGCAGAAGCAAGTGAAAATCCTTTGTAAAGGAAGATGTCAGTCATCATCCTGGGCCTCAAATTATTTCTATAATTGTAGAATTTGTGGTGTCAATATTACGCCAAGAGAACTTCGTTGGGGGGTGGAGCATTACTTGGCATAAAGAGGGTCATTTCATAATGATAAAATTTCCAAAGTACCAGAAAGTAAAAACTTCAGTTCATACTTTATAAAGCGAAAATTGACAGAACTACAAAGAGAAAGATTCCAACTCAGTTGGAACTGGAGGGTTTTTTTTTTTTTTAAGATTTTATTTATTTTAGAGAGAACGTGCATGAGCAGGGGAGGGGCAGAGGGAGAGGGAGAGAATCGCAAGCAGCCTCCCTGCTGAGTGAAGCCCCTTGCAGGGCTCCGTCTCATCACCCTGAGATCATGACCTGAGCCCAAATCAAGAGTCAGACACTTAACCAACTGAGCCACCCAGGTGCCCCAGAACTAGAGATTTTAACACACACATAGAAGGAAATGTTGAGCCTTAAATGCATGTATTAAAATAGAAGAGAAGCTGAAAATCCATCCTGAAAACATCAATCTCAGAAAGTGAATAAACAAATGGCAAAACTAAAGAAAGCAGATAGAAGAAAATAAGAGCAGGTTGATGAAATACAAACAAAATTAAGTGGATCTTCCCCTCCCACAAAAGGCCAAAAGATCACCCTGTGGATAAAGCAATAAAATTGATGAGAGTATGGTGAGAATGACTAAGAAAAAAAAACATATATGAAAAATATTATCAGGAATAAAAAAGAGAACATCACTAAATATTATGATACTGTGAACAACTTTATAAAAATGTATTTGTGAATTTAAATGAAATCAATATATTTCTAGAAAAACAAAAATCTAAACTTACATAATAAAATTAATACTTGATGAAATGACGGAAATTTCACTTTTGAAATTGGGAATGAGAACACAATGCTGATTATAACTACTTAAAGTTGTACTGGATCTTGTATCCAGCAAACTTGCCAAACTCTATAAATTTCCATGTTAATGCCACATTTATCTGGACTTTCTATACACCTAATCATGTTAATTGTAAGTAACAACAATTTTATTTTTTCTTTTCCAATTTGTACACCTTCTCTTTATTTTTCATTCTTTCTTGAACCGGCCAATATCACTTTATTTCCTCTAATATATTCTCAATTTTTGTCTTGAATATTTTAAAGCAAATCCCAGAGATGTACTTGCACAAGTAAAAACATTAGTATCTATC